TGGGGGTGACGGTGATTTCAATCCCAGGATGACAGTGATTTCAGTCCTAGGGGGTGACAGTGATTTCAGTCCTAGGGGGTGACGGTGATTTCAGTCCTAGGGGGTGACGGTGATTTCAGTCCCTGGGGTGACGGTGATTTCAGTCCCAGGAGGTGACGGTGATTTCAGTCCCAGGAGGTGACGGTGATTTCAGTCCCTGGGGGTGACGGTGATTTCAGTCCCTTGGGGGTGACGGTGATTTCAATCCCAGGATGACAGTGATTTCAGTCCATGGGGGTGACTGTGATTTGGGTTCACGCTGGCAGCTTGAGTTAAGTTGGCTCGACACAATGTTATCAGACAGATGGATGCTTGCATGGTGCACACTCACTAGACAAATGAGCTTTTATTTTCACAGATATCGAGCGTTATTCTGACAAATACCAGTCCTCTGGGCCGACTGACAACACAATTGAATGGAATCCTGGTGCGTGACTACACCTCTGATATTTCATTCTGTTGATGCCTGGTTGCTGTTCCCTGTGTATTCATGCAAAAGATGGCTCTGACTTGATCCACACAACCAAAGCTATAATCTCTGCTGGGTCGATGTCTTCGCTCTTTTGTCATTAGGTATATTTTTTTTATCATCCAACTCTATCCCTGTCTAACATCCACCCCTGTCTGATCTTCAATCTTCATCCTGCCTCGGCTGTTATACTGCTGTCCTCAGCCACACGCTGGTTTCCCCCTGGACGGGGCTCCTCCACAGCTTTTCTGCTTGCCTCTCTACTTTCTGACATCTGTGAACTTCGACATGTTTAAAAACTCTAGTTTTAAGGCTCACACCTGGTCTGTTCACCCATCACCTACCTCTGCCCTCTGCACACGCGCGTGCACACACCCTCCCGAGATCTCTCTAACCGCTTCCAGCCCCTGCAACCCTCAGAGATCTCTGCATTCCTTTCATTCTGGCCCAGTTTCCATTGCCCCCCACCACTGCCAGCGTGCCACAGTTACCATGTGTGTTCCGTCACTCCTAACACATCCTCCTGCATTTTTCCTTACAATTGCAGAAGGTTTAACACTTGCACCTTGTCCCTCCTCATGGTCTAAGGCCCCAAACAAACCTTCCAGGTGCAGCAGTGTTTTACTTGTCCTGTCGTAGTTGAAGAAACAGCACCTCACTTGGGTACTTTATAGCTTTCAGGACTCGACATTGAGTCAGAGCACAGAAACTGTCCTTCAAATTGATTACACCCCTTCGCACCCTCCCTTGGCCCCCTGTCTTGTTTGTCTTGGATTTGTCCCAGCTAAGTTGACCTAGTTTCTTCTATTCATGTCTTTTTCTCATCTCCATATCTCCTTTAATACAATTAGCACTCCATTTGTCTTTTGCTCTGGGCAACCTCGCCACCTGAGCCACTTGCTTCTACTTACCTTCCGCCTTAAAACGAACCATCGTTTTCCAGCTCCCGTTAGTTCTGAAGAAGGGTCACATTGGACTCGGAATGTTAATTTTGTTTCTCTTTCTGTAGATGCTGCCAGACCTGCTGAGTTTCTCCAGCACGTTATGTTTCCATTTCTACCTCTCTCCATGTCTGTCTCTCTCCTCTTTTAAGAAACTGCTCAAAACTGAGCTGTTTGCAGAGCTTTTGGTCTCCTAGCTAATATCCCCCCACAGGTCCCCGGTTGCATTTTCCTTGATAATTGCTGCCCCGCAAACGCCTTGGGATGTTGAGCTGCGTTCGCTGAATTAATCGTTGTCTCCCATTCTGTGTGAGGCCCATAAAAGTTGAATAGAGTTTGATGCTGAGAGCAGATGGGTGATTAGAATGTTTTTCAAGCAATATGTTCGAGCCGCTGTGCTCGTAGAGTGGAACCCCTATAGTGTGGGAGCAGGCCATTCATTCCTCCCTGACTGTCCGATGAGCATCCCCGCTACCCTATAACCCTGCATTTCCCATGGCTAACCCATGTAGCCTGCATATCCCTGGACACTGGGCGATATAGCACGACCAACCCACTTAAGCGGCCCATCTTTGGAGTGTGGGAGGAAACCAGAGCACCCAGACGAAACCCACGCAGACAACGTGCAAACTCCACACACACATTTGCCTGAGGGTGGAATTGAACCCAGGTCCGTGGTGCTGTGAAGCAGCAGTACTAACCACTGAGCCACTGTGCCGTACTGTGCTCATTTAGTGAGCCACATACATGAGATTGTGTTCGGGCACACTGGGTTAGATGCCTTGTCATGGTGTCATCAGGGCACAGATATTTTACTGGACACAGCCTGTTCTTTTGGTATAAATCTATGTTCCCATTATGGTAGAAAACACGTTATGGTCAAGGTGTAACGCTGTAATTATACTCTGCTACCCCAGGTGGCACTGCAGCACCATCAGGAGTCAATGAGAGTTGAGAGTGCAGGACATAATTCATTCCTGAAGAAGGGTCCAGACCCGAAACGTCAGCCTTCCTGCTCCTCTGATGCTGCTTCGCCTGCTGTGTTCATCCAGCTCTACACCGTGTTATCTCTCATTCAAACCTCATTGGTTTCAGTTGACAAGTTCATTTCAAAATGTGACCGCAAATCAGAGGAGGAAAAAGTTGACGCATGCTGTGAGGATAATGTATAGCTGCAGCAAACGTTTTGTTAACTGGGGCCAGTGGGATCAGGAGTGTGCTGGTTGATCAGATATCCGGATAATCAAGGGGCTGTGTCTAACTACAGTAAACCCTGATCAAGTGAAGCTTCGAGATATCAACATTCTTCAAAAAAAATCTATTTTAAAACATCAACACGCCTTCTGAAATCTGTGTAAAAACACAGTAACTAATAAAAATATAATGCAGGGGGTATAGACATCACTGTTAGCTTTATTTACAGCATAAATACATTGTGGTATTTGAGGTGTATAATTTTTGCCAGTTTACCAAGAGTGCCAGTGGATAGGGTGCCAGTTAAAACAGAGTTTGCTGATGGTAGAAGCGATGTATTTATATGCAAGGCCCCGTCTTTGGCAAACAGGGTAGAGGGAACACTGTAAACTGGAAATAGGAGGAGGAGGAGAGCATTCGGCCCCTTAATTTAGAACAAAGAACAAAGAAAATTACAGTACAGTAACAGGCCCTTCGGCCGTCCAAGCTCTGCCACTCAACTAGATCGTGGCTGATTTTCTTTAATAGTGCAAGAAAAAATGGCACTATCTCCATTCCTTCGATACTACTAGTGACGATCAGTCCCTGCCTTGAACGTGCCGAACGATGGAACTTCTGGGGGAGAGCATTCCAAAGGTTCAGCCCCCTTTCCCCTCCTCCTCCTCTTCTCAATACAAAATAGCTGCCCTCCAAGAGGTTTCCGTGCTACTGGGTGATGTGGAGAAGCCAGTGTTGATGTGTGTGTGGGGTTTGGGAATGGATCTGCCCCTTTGTGCACTAGGCTTGTAATCATAACAACAGAATGTGGGACTTTTCACAGCCTCGGGCCCACCCACCGCACCCACTAAACAATCAATCCCTGTCATTTCAGATTGGCGGCGGTTGCCACGGGAACTGAGGATCCGAATACGAAAGCCACTAAAAGACAGTAAGTTTGGCACGGCTGCAAGTCCAGAAACCAGGCTGCCCCAGTGTCGATACCAGCTTCACCATCACCATCCCAAGAACAATCTCCCTGATACCAGCTTCCCCAACACCAGGGGCAGTCTCCCTGATA